GGGGGGAGGGATTTGTAGCCTGCATAATTAAACTGTAAACTGCCCAGATAATGCTTTAAATGCTATGGGTTGGCAGATAATCAGCATGCTATTTGGTTTAAATTTCCATCAAACAGACACCATGGATTTTTAAAAGCTGAGGAATTAATATAAAAACATGTGCCTTCAATAAAAGCGCAATGAAAAATGCCATAATAAAATAATTATAAAAATAAATTAAAAGCAAATACCAGTCATTAGATACAGCTTGGTAATGAAGCAGACCAATAACCTAAATGGGGGAGGGAATAATATTAAAATATATGTTGATACACATGAAAAATATTTTTGAAAGTAAAAATGAATACAAAATAAAACTATGAGAAATTAAAGAAAGAAAAAAATAGTTTCATATACTTTTATGCTAGTAGCCGATCTTTTAAAGTGTCTTTCCGCGGCCACTTTTTCAGGGTTGAAGGTTGGTTTTATTCTATTAATGCACACAATGTTTGAGTCCCACTTTTCGAGACAGATCCTTCCATGTTTGGTTCTTGTGCAGCCCTTCTTCGCTCCCGCTGAGGCTCAGAGTTGCACGCTCGCAAGGGAAAGCTGCCTCTTGCGCGAGCGAGACTCTGGCTCCCTGGTGCAGGATTTGGGCCAGCGCTGAGGAGCAGCCGCACTCCTCCAGGATTTCGGGCTGAAGACTTTTCGAGACTGCTGGGAATGGCGCCGGGCCGCTTTCCCGGGTGACGCTGGCGATCTGTTTCTGAACCAGGGGAAGCCGAGGAAGCTCATGGGGAAGAAAGGGGAAACGGACACGCTCTGGGTTTTAGTCCGAAATGACAGGAGCTTTTCCCAGACGCTGGGCCGCATCTCCTAACAGGAGATTCAGCAGCTTGAATAGCTTGTATGAAGTTAGTTTGGGTTTAATTCTGAGAGCCAGTAGCCTCGGTGGGGCATGGTGAACCATGTCCGGCTTTTAGTCCGAGCGTTACATGAGCTCCTCTAATTGTGTTGTGTGCTTAGTAGTTCCCAATAAGCAGATGATGTTCTCTCCATGCGCCTTCTCTTGGTCTTCCCTGTCTGGTTGAAGGTTTTGTGTGGGTTTCTCTGAGAATGAGCACTCTGTATCCATGGTGTTCAGAAGGGTCCTGATTGGAGGGGTGTTTGCCTTGAGCCAAAGCCACCATTTTGAGACATGGTGGACTAAAACTCCCATCGTGCTGAATGAGTACAGCCAGGCAGCGGAGGATTCCGCCCATGGAGGGGCCATCCTTTGGGAGAGGCTGGACTACTCTGTCCAAAGACTCCCAAGCAGATTTAGAAGGACGAGGAAGCCCATGCTCAGCCTTGGCTCTTCCAGTTTGGGATTACAATTCCCAGCATCCTCGATGATCAGCCATGGGAGGCGAGGCTTCTGGGGGCTCGGGTCCAAAACAACCGGAGGAGGGCCTCAGAAGCCGGGAGACATGAAAACTTGGTTTTCAGAGGGCAATGAGACCATCACCGTGACGTCGGGGAAGCTGATTCAGATTCACATGTGAACGAATTCCAGGTTGTCTTGATTGCAGAATTACGGGCTTGCGGTCTTTTATCTTCAAGAGATTTGGAGAAGGTCATACCAGCGCTGACGACACTCTTGTGATAAGATCCCTGGGGACTCTTTCCAGCGTCCATGTTTTTACGGTCTTTTATCGTCAAGAGATTTGGAGAAGGTCGTACCAGCGCTGACGATAAGTTCCCTGGGGACTCTTTCCAGCGTCCATGTTCTCCTGATCCTCCAGCTCTTTCTGGATGTCACCCCTCTTCCTCTTTCCATTCCACTTTCCCTGCCTCAATGTAGGTTTGCTCCACTTCCTCTTCCAGTTCTCGTTTTTCAGTTCTGGTCTCCTTGGGAGCTCCGTGCGGACACCCAGATCTGAGCATGCTGGGTCGTGTCCGGTTTTGGAGGCTCAGCAGAGTTGGGCTTGGGTAGGAGGGACCACCAGAGACGGCCAGATAGGGCTAGGAAAGGAGAGTCGCTGCTGCCAGTTAAGAGTTGGTAATACAGTGGTGCCTCGCTTAACGGGCACTCCATTTAGCGATGAAATTGCATACCGACAATTCTTTTGCGATCGCTTTGCGATGTTCCCGATGGGGAAAAATCGCTGTGCAATGATCGGTACCCTGTTTCGCTTACCGATCATCGCAAAGCAATGATTTTTTAACAGCTGATCGGCGGTTCCAAAATGGCTGCCGGGTAAACAAAATGGCCGCCTACTGTGTTGCCTCGCTTTAGAGGCACCGAAAATGGCTGCTGCAATGGAGGATTTTCGCTTAAGGTTAGTTTTCAAGCCCATAGGAACGCATTACACAGGCTTTGTGTTTCTGTGGGATTTTTAAGATCGCTTAGTGATGTTTTCGGTTAGCAGCGATTTTTGCTGCACGGATTAACATCGCTAAGCGAGGCATCACTGTACTAAGCTTGATGGGACCGAGTGTCTCGCTCAGCTTCCTCGGTCCCTCTAGAATTCAGAACGGTTTTCCCGCCTCTTCGGTCCAGCTTGTTTTGGGCAGTCTTTTCCTTTTGTGGTGCAGCTGCTGCGAAAACAGGGTGACTTAATCTGTGCCCAAGCCAGGCGTTTACCCCACCCCTGCTCCCTCCCAGGTGTGTTGGACTACAAGTCCCATCATTCCCTCCCAGGCCTCGCCTCTTGGGTCTTATTACTACCGTTCGTGGGGCACGGGGAGGAGACGGTAGAAGAGTTAAGGAGGCGGCTGAGCAAATTCTGAGCACCCCGAGGGCCAGAGAAGACCTCCTGATGCTCGAAATGAGCGCTATGGCATCCTCACCCTTACATAAGCAGCCCTGAAGCGTTGGGCGCATTAGCAGCAGATCCATAGACGGTTACGTAAATAAACGGGTGTACCTTTAGAGCAATACGAGCACCGTTCTTTTTTTCCAGCGCAGGTCCTGCGGTTTGCGTGACTCTTTCACATTTAGCTCACCGTGACTGGAAGGAGGCAGACAGACGCTTCCCTGGTCACGAGTGAGATGTCTGAGGGGGTCAGGGGGCCGCTTCTGGCCCGCTGCGAGCTGGGTCCCCTGTTTTAAGGAGCAGCAAAGCAGCCCACAGTGTCTCCTGCAGGGAGGCGAACGTGTCCTCCATCCCTTCGACAGCGAGCAGCATCTTGACCGGGGGGGGGGGCATCTGGATTCCAGCTCTTAATCCTTTTCTGGCCTTGCACGGTGATGCCAGGACGTTATCTGGGATGATCCCCATCCCAAGCCCATGCTGTGGTTCTTCACCTAAAACAATAAAGACGCTAGTCCTCATGGTGGAGGAACAAAGGGTTAAATCAGTTCGGTGGTCCCTCTGCCCCAGTATTGACAATTCAGCAGCGGTGTTTATTGAAAGTCTTGGAGAGAGGATGCTTTCTGCGGCTTGTAGGACCTAGAAACAGCGGCATGCAAAGCAGGGGCTCTGCTGCTAACAGGGTGACCCACCACGCCTTCCCCAAATGCACAGGTGATGAAAATGGAGCAAGATATGTAGATTTTTTTAAAAAAGGTTTTGATGCCCTGAAACGGGACGGGGAGCATCCTCCAGTGGCAGGGAGGGAATTAAACTTTTGGACTACAGTTTCCATAATCCAACAACACACACATCCCCAAATGGCTAGTGGATTCTGGGAGTGATGGACTCAGGAATTCCAAAAGATTCGTTGGAGTTCATGCCGTGTAGGCGCGTGCCCCTTCAGTCTCCTTCAGCTTTTTTCCTGGACATCTAAACCTTCCAGGAGAGGAGGCTGATTTGGAAAAGCTTACTCTCCCTTTTTTTTACTAGGTGGTGTTTTTCTTTCGGAAAAAAAAATGTGTTTTGTTTTTTAATACGCGCTGCCTGTCACATGGGGTAGCTTTCTGACCACTGTCCACAACCGGAGAAGTTGTAAACAGAGAGAAAGATCAGCTGCTTCTCGGGTGGAGAATATGGAGGGAGAGGGGCGGTCCCACAGATAAGACTACAGAACAGATTTCTAGTTATCCGCATGTCCCTTTTTTTTTTGGAAGTTTGTTTTTAACTTAAAACAGCTGCAGAGCAGCCTCGAAGCACAGACAGTAAGCATCTGGACCTTTGCATTGGGTTTTGTTTTTAAAACAACGGGAGGCCACGAAGTAGCAGGAATTTGCCGGAGCAGCAGAGGGCTGCTGTCCTAGATTTCTGTCCCATAAACCTGCCTTGTTGAGAATGTTAGCCAAGGCTAATGAAACGAGCCATCTAGATCCAGAAGCATGCGATGGGTTGTTTGCAACTTTCGGGCCAAAGAGCCGGTCCTGCTGCGCTTGCTGTATGCCTGTGTGGACAGCCACATGTGGCCCACCGGATAGGGCATAAAGGATTGGAATTTGGGGGAAGGAGACTTCCAAGTAAGGGCTAAGAGAAACTTCCGTTGGAAGCGTAGGCTTTCACAGATTTGAAGCACGTGATGGGTTGTGCACATCTTTTTGATCCGTCGGCCTGTCCTGCTGCACTCACTGTACCTCTGTATTTAGCATCTAAAGCAAATCTTTTGGAATTCCTAAGTGAGGTGTAGTCGTATATGGTTTGGGAGCCACCTCTGCTTTAAATATTTTTCACAACAACACCCTTCATTACTGATCGTGGACCGTGCCGCCAGGGCTTCGTGGGGACTGTAGTGGCCAATCCCCGGGGGGGGTTGGAGGAAGGTTGGTGGCCGCAAAGCCCAATAAATGTACAGACTGGTGCTAATGTAAGTGGTGAATACAGAGTTTTATCAAGCGGTTTGGTGCTTTTGGAAACGTTGAGCTTCTGCAGGAGGTGTGTGAGGCTTAGCAACCGAAATGCACCGCATGTCAATGAAGAGGGGTGTTTTTGGAAGGCTGGTGGCCTCCCTCAGCAACCCTCCAAAATGTTTTTCAGCGGCCACAGGCTTCTTGCGCCACTTTCCTC